AGATGATACGAAAAGAAGTGCGAAGGCAAGTAGTGAGGTTGACAGCAAGAGTTTTCAGAAGGACAGGCTAAGTGAGTGGCCGAAAATTGAGCAGATGCAATATAAATTGGGAAAAAGTGATGTTATGTACTTTGGCAGGAAGAATAGAGTAGCTAAATATTATTTAAGTAGACAAAAACTACAGAAAGATGCAACACCAAGGGATTTAGGAGTCCTTGTGGATGAGTCATAAAAGACTTGATTCCAAGTTAAATGCATTACAGGGAAGGCAAATGGGCTGTGATGTTTATTTCAAAGGAAATACACTATAATAATGGAAAGGTCTTGCTGAAACTATACAAGACACCACTCACACAACAGCTGGAATATGTGAATCATTTTGGCTCCCTTATCTAAGGAAGGATTTACTAGTATTGAGAAGGTTCACTAGGTTGATCCTGGGTATGGAGGGATATTATGAGAAGGGTTTGAATAGGTCAGCCTGTACTCATTGGAATTGGGAGCATGAGAAGTGAATTTATTGAAACATAAAAGATAAAGGACCGACAGGTTAGAAATAGAAAGATTGTTTCCCCATGCAGAAATGTCTAGGAGGAGAGGATATAATCTCTGCACAAAAGGTTGCACGTTTAAGACATTGAGGAGGAATTTCTTCTCTCAGAGGGTAGTGAATCTGTGGAATTCTTCATCACAGAATGCCGTTTAAGGCTGAGCTGTTAAGTACATCCAAAGCTGTGAGAAACCAATTTTTAACAAGTAAGGGTTGTAGGTAGAAGGCAAAAAAGTGGAGTTGAGGTTTATCAGATCGGCCATGATCTCATTGATGGTGCAGCATCCCTGATGGGCTGAATGGCCTACTTCTGCTCCCAGATCTTATGGATTCCTAATTGGCCACGCCTGTGAGTGTGGTGTGGGTCTGGTGAGTGGACTCCAGATACTGTCAGTCCACCAGAGTGCCATCTGCTCTGGAGCCTCAGCATTGCCACCAGGACATGTGGTCAGTTGAAAGAATGCAGGGGACATTGGCAGCCAGGCAGGTAAGGCAAAAAGTAAGATTCATGGTCACAGGACAAAGGGGATATCACTTTGCCCTTGCTGCCTATGACTCGTTCTCTGCCCCCCGAGAGCTTTGCCCCCGCCCCTGGAGCTTTGCCAACCCCAGAAGGTGGGAGGGAAGCCAGATTGTTTCAGGAGGCCACCCCTCTCCAAAGGGGGTTCACCCATTGGCTGTTAAAATGCTGACACCAACATTAGATGGGCCCCAAATGTGCCTTACATGATGTGCCTTGCCTAATCCGTCTAGCTCCTCGGGGAAGGCAGTCTCTCTTTATTCATCCCGCCATTGGTAAAATGCCACAACCATAGGAGGTACCAAACCAACCTGGCTCTCTATCATCCTCTAACCACCACTCCCCTCCCACCTCTCCTCCCAGGGACTGGCAGAGTCATTGCTGTCAGTTACACACCTGGAAAACCCCAGTAAGTCTTGACACATGTTTGTGGCAGGTACATTGTCCGAAACTCTGACATGTCAAAATAAACAACATATTCACTGCAGAAAGTATGGTGCATGTGGCAGCAGAAATAATGTGCCAATAAATGGAGAAACATAGATCAGATCCAGAATTCAGAATTCCTGAGGAACTAAGTATGTCTGACTCCAGGTAACCTCATGCATTTCTGGCTACCTCCAGTAAACTGGGCAATGCTGCTTGGCCTGCTGTATTCATCCAGCTCTACACTTTGTTATCTCAAGTTATTTAATACTTTGTTTCACTGGTGGAAGGCCAGTGCTTTGTGCCTTACAAAGCTGGTCAAAAGCAGAGTCTGCAAGCACAAAGCGGTTCTAAAATTGTCCAAAACTGACCTTTTGTTGAGATTCCGAGACAACAAGGTGCAGAGCTGGATGACCACAGCAGGCCAAGCAGCATCATAGGAGCAGGAAGGCTGACATTTCGGGCCTCGACCCTTCATCAGAAATGGGGGAGGGGAAGGGGGTTCTGAAATAAATAGGGAGAGAGGGGGAGGCGGATAGAAGTTGGATAGAGGAGAAGTTAGGTGGAGAGGAGACAGACAGGTTGAAGAGGCGGGGATGGAACCAGTAAAGGTGAGTGTAGGTGGGGGGTTACACCTCTGATTCAATTTACTTTTGTTGAGATTAGCTCTTTTGTTTTTTTTGATTTGCTATGTTTATTTTTGTTTCTCAGCATCATGCCATTTCTTGTACCTAAGGGTTGCTGGGCTATTTATTATCTTTTGTTTGCTCTCAGCTTTGCTGACGTATCATTTAATTGACTGCACTTGTCCTGACATGGGACATTATTTCTGCCTGGTGTACAGTCACAGTCTACTGCCTCACCTTCAGGGTAATACTCAGAGAAAATGCCATCATTTCAAAGCTGGCCTATGAATAGAAGCCACTGTGACATATGCTGCTGGTCAGCAAGTCCTGGATTCTGTGCCCACTGTGTCTGTGAAACAATGGTGGAAATGCCCCTGCTATACTAATCCAGGGGAAAACCTGAGGAATTCCCCTTTGTATGTCATCAGCTTGTAAAATTCCCTACCGTCAATGTATCGCGAACACTCCCACTCTGATTCAGTGGAGCCTTTTTTTTTGGGTGTGTGAACATTGATGGTTAGCTGCCCAAACAGACTCAATGACATTCTGCAAAAATTGTCGCTATCACAGTACGAGATTGTGAAAAAGCCGCATTCCAAGCTATTTACAATTTGTGAAGTGTTTTTCAAAGTCCGGAGGTGCTGTGAATTTTTCTACAAAACACTCAAAATTCTCCAAGGACGTACTCTTCTTTCATAAGCATCACTTTGCAGTGAGGTCACACAGTATTTTGCAAGTACAATCATGTCCTAATTTAATTGTGTGCTCTTTAGATTTTGGAATTAAAAGTTTGTTGTTATGGGGCTATCGTTCACATTTTTAAAATATACAATGAAGCTAAAATAATCACGTTAACTGTTCCTTGAATATTTTTCCAGAATTTCACACTTTAAATAATTCCTTATTGAGTTGTTCTTTCTTATGTGGTAATTGAAACTGCTTAAAAACATATGAATTCTATAATAGAAGTTATCAGATATATTTGTGCCCATTGAAGAATCATTCATATTTCCAGCTTCATTGAACTATACTGGACCCTGTCTGCTGTCCCAGTGATCATTCTTCATGCATCAACCCAGATCATGTTGATTGCAGGTATCAGGCTAACTCTGCTGGATTCCATCGTGGCCCTATGGCTGAGACTTCAATACAGTCGGTCTTGTTAATGAATTGAAAATCCCCAGTACTTCAGGGTGCAGCTCAAAGCAATTTTAACCCACCTTTCTCCAAAGTTCATGGGGGGTGGCGATGGTAGAGTTGTATTATCTAGACTATTAATCCAGAAATGCAGGTAACGTTCTGGAGACTTGGGTTCAAATCCTGCTGTGGTAGATGATGGAATTTGACTTCAATTTTTAAAAATCCTACAATGCCCATGAACATATTGCTGATCATCAGGGAAAAATCCATCTGGTTCACTAATGTCCTTTAGAGAAGGAAATCTGCTGCTTTTAACTGGTCTGAACTACATGTGACTCCAGGCCCATAGCAATGTGGTTGACTCTTAATTGCCCTCTGGATCCACGAATCACCATGGAATTGGATGGACCCAGGAATTTTGACCCAGTGGCCACCCTATCAGGCTTTTGACACCCTGAGGGTTCAGGAATGACAGAAATTGATAAAGTGACACCATTTCACAATTACCGACGTCTGCAGCAGGAAATTCCAGAGGTTGCAATGAACAGGAAGATGGGCCCTTTTCCAGCTTGTGAAAGAACAGTAGCAGCTCGTCTACATGGTTCAAAGAGTGAATGCTGCCTTACCTGCACTGGGAAAAGGTGAGGAAGAGATCTTACCTGGTTTCAGGGAGGTTTTCATCATAAGTTCTATTCACATTCTATTTAACTTTCTAATGTTGGCTGACAAAATGGTTTCACAGTAATAAAGGAGGACAATGAACATTACTCTGGCAATAGCTACTTTAACAGGGCAATGTATCTCTGTCATGGAACCATATTGCACTAAAGGAGGCTCTTTGGCCCAATCTGCTTGTCCTAACTGTTAGAAGTAGCAATTTAGCTAGATCCATATCCAGCTCTTTCCCCATTGCCTTCTAAATGTTTCCATATATACACACACACGTGCTTACATGCACACACACATGCAAATTAGCTCAGGAGTTGGCCATTTGGCTCATTGAACCTGATCCTCAAGATCATGATCTGATCTGATTGCGGCCTCAGCTCCATTTCCCTGTCTGCTTCACCCCACCCTGTAACCCTTGACTTCTTTCAGTTTCTAATTGCCCTGACTACTCAACTTCCTTTTGTAAGTTCATAGAACACCTAAAGTGTGGAAACAGGCCCTTCGGCCCAACAAGTCCTCACAGCACCCACGCAAACCCATCCCCCTATAACCCACCTAATCTACACATCCCTGAACACTACGGGTAATTTAGCATGGCCAATCCACCCTAACCTGCACATCTTTGGACTGTGGGAGGAAACCGGAGCACCCAGAGGAAACCCACACAGACACGGGGAGAATGTGCAAACTCCACACAGACAGTCGCCCGAGGCTGGAATTGAACCCAGGTCCCTGGTGCTGTGTGGCAGCAGTTAATATCAAATCTGCATCCATCAACCTTTTCGGTAGCTCCAGATTACGATGACTAACCATAACAGCTATAATTTAAAACGTTCTCCATGTCCCCTGCTTGGTTCTTTTGTAAATGACCTTGTTCTGCAATGCATTGTGTACAAGCGCTTTCTACAGTCACAGCAATAAGAACAGGTTTGACTTCAGTGGCAGGGGTACAATCAAGTGATCTGCTTCACCGTGAACCGTAGTGAAATTCCCAAGTGTTGTTGTAACTGCAGCCAAGCATATAAATGGTGAGTATTAATCTCAACTAGAGGAGAGGCAATTTACTCACTGGCATGTCACTTCCAGTTAGTGAATCCAGGGAGTTGAATCTCACATCAAGCAAAGCCAGCTCCTGATCAGCATTTCGCATTGTCGTTTCATCAATGCCTAATCCCCTCAATTCCATTAACCAATTGCTTGTTTTGTCAAACCATGCAGGTCATCTATTTCCCCACTGAAGAGTCTTGCAATTTTCCTGTCTGCCGAGATTCAGCAAAATGGTTCACCAATAATATTGATGACACACATGAATCGTGACCTCCAATGTTACTTCCATATCACCAGAAAAGGGCTTCGTTCCACAAGTACAGGTACAGAAGTACTCACATGGTTACTAGTTCATCTGACAGTTGCCATGTATCATCATGTTACGGTACATTCCCAAAATTCCCAAAGCACCATGAAGCTTGGATGGCTGGTTGTTGAGGGACCAAGATTATGTATTGCTTCTGAACACTTAGCACCATGAGGCATCCCTACAGTAGACCTGATCAGGGATATAATAAAGTATGTGCTACTCTTGGGATCTGGTTAGTTCAGATCATTGCTACGTTCAACGAATGCTGCAGTGTAACCCAATGAAATTGTCTGAGACCGTTGCCTGTAGTTGCAGCTTACACATCTTTTGCATTGCAAATGGACATTATTACAGGGCAGTTGAGGGGAAATTGACCGCAGTAGGAAGTATTTCATGATCTGTGTCATGTACACTATGTCCAACTTCTTTGTCAAAGATGGTCAGGGGATCAGCATCAATTTCACACGTGGACTTTATTTAGAGAATGCCAAAAAAACTGCAGTGTTTGCACAAATAACACAGAGAATACTGAAATCCTGAATGATTAATGCATTCTGGAGCTGCTGAGCACCTGTCCTTTAAAGGTTGGCATTTTAAAATGCAGCTTCACCTTGAATTATATGTATGGCTTCTAATAGTGTGTAAGTGTACTGCTGATAATATACAAATGATGGAACAACAAAAGCAAATTGCACTCTGGTGCACTATTTCCAACATTCCCATTTCCCACTGATAGCTTAGAAAACCCTGTAAAGGCAGCATCTGTTAATATTTCACTGCATGTAAAAATAAATTAACAAAGACATCTTTGTGCCTTGTTTAGAGAGGTATTGCAACTGAACTGGTTTCTCTGGGATGTTAATACTGGTATCAAATAAATGACAAGCAAAAACATTTGCAGTCTGTTTTGAAATAATGGCAGATTTATGAAGTAGGCTTGTACCAAAGATAATAGTAGATTCCATCCCATCTAATCAGCAACATGTTATGTCCGGTTTCCCTGGATAATTTACAAGTTGCTATTGTGAGTGAATGTGAAATTTCAACATGGCTTTGGGCCTCAGGCATTGTTGGTAGCTTTTCTTTAAATTATTTTTGTAGGATAAGCTTAGGACTTGCCTAACAACTAAGAGCCCATCCCCATGGTTTAGGTATCCTATTCATTTGCTCATTCAGAAATAAAGAGCTCAATACTTGCTTAGATGGAAACAGTTAGGAACAAGAGAGCAAGAATTTAGACTTGAAGAGACAGAACTGCTGTAGTTAGCAAAGTGACAAAGATTGCCATAAGGAGTGAAATAACTGCCTCTTGCTTGAAACCATTGTCAGTGCTTCTTTCGTGTTTTGTATTCATAGAGTCATAGAGTCATACAACACGGAAACAGACCCTTCGGTCCAACTCGTCCATAGCTACCAAATTTCCCAAACTAAACTAGTTTCATTTGCCTGCATTTGACCCATACCCCTCCAAGCCTTTCCTAGTAATGTACCTATCCAAATGTCTTTTAAATGTTGTAATTGTACCTGCATTTATCACTTCCTTTGGCTGTTCATTCCACATATGAACCAAGCTCTTGTGTGAAAAAGTTGCCCCTCATGTCCATTTTAAATCTTATTCCTCTCACCTTAAAAACTTGCCCTCTTATTTTGAACTCCCTCCCCTAGGGAAAAGACCTTTGCTAATCACTTTACCTATGCCCCTCATGATTTTATAAACCTCTATAAGGTCACACCTCAACCTTCTATGCTCCAGTGAAAAAGGTCCCAGCTTATCCAGACTCTCCTTATAACTCAAACCCACCAGTACTGTTAACATCCTTGTAATTTTTTTCTGCACCCTCTCCAATTTAATACTATCCATCCTAAAGCAGGACAACCAGAACTGTACACAGTACTCCAAAACTGGCCTCACCAACATCCTGTGCAACTGCAAGATGATGTCCTAACTCCTATACTCTCCCCTATTTTAAAATCAGCATCTAAACCCAGCCCTTGTGAAAACAGCAAAGAATTGTGGATGCTATAAATCTGAAACAAAAATACAAATAGCTAGAAAAGCTCAACAGGTTTGGCAGTATCTGTGGAGAAAAACCAGAATGAAAACAGCTTAATTGCTGAATTTAGCAAATAAATTGTAGTTCTGCACTGAAATTTACAAAAAATGGCAGTAATGATTTGAAAACTTCCTTAGCCCACTTGAAGAAGTTCACATCAATATCACTTCTATAAAGTCTTATATTGAGTAATACTTTCTAAAGAGAGAGACCCATTATCACACTTCTTTCTAATGTGAGTGATCTCCCATTTCTTATCCCTTTCTAAGTATGCATTTTGCTCCATCACTGTGACTTTCTAAAGAGGTTTCGTCATCAGGACCAATACCTCACAATCAGCACCACTTTCTGAAGGGAGCAATCTCTATTTAAATCTTGTTTTCCAATTTCATACAACTTAAAGAGTGTGGAAAGGATTACTGAAGGAATATTAGGGTTTGGGACCATGAAAACTGAAGGAACAGTCAGCAATGGTGGGATATTGGAAAAGGTGCTGCACAAGAAGCTAGATTTGGAAGAATGCAGAGTTCTTAGAGGGTTGCAGAGATGTTGATGGTTGACTTATGAAAATGTGGTATGTGATTCTACTCAGAAATTTGAACACAAATGTGCAGTAATGTGACTGATGGTGTACAATGTCAATGCCGTAAACTTTTTACTGACGCCCATCAAAAAACAGAAAACCTCCTCATAAATTTTGAAGTTCTATCAGATACTGCAAACAAGTTTTCTGGCCAGAATGAGAAATCCGGAAAGATATTATATACAACAGACCACCATCACCTTTCAGAAAAGTTCCTGAAATGATGATGATCACTGAGGCACAGCATGACCTCTGTCCTCCACTTTGATTACAATCGCTGCTACCATCTCAGCGCTGTGTAGTTGGTTTGTTCTCAGAAAGTGAACCCATTTTCTCCCTTTCACACTTAACATTTACACCTATTTTACATCTCTATCTCTTCTTTACCACCATTAGCCTACTTTTATCATTTGCAGACTCTCACCAGCTGTTCCAGTTACTCCTCCTCCCCCTCTGTCTGCAGCATAAAACCCACCTGCTTCTGGCTTCTTTCAGGTCTAAAGAGGAATCCTACCAGAACGTGAAATAGAACATGGCACATAGAACAGTACAGAACAGAAACAGGCCCTTTGGTCCATGATGTTGTGCTGAACATGACGCCAAATTAAACTAATCCCTTCTGCCTACCCTTGGTCCATAGCTTTCCATTCCTTGCATATGTGGGTGCTTTTTGTCTTAAACGTCCCTATTGTATCTGCCCCCATCACCACCCCTGGCAGTACATTCCAGACTCCTATCACTGTCTGTGTAAAACCTTGCTTTGCACATCTCCTTTGAATGCGCCCTAGTATTAGACATTTCAACTCTGGGAGAAAGATTCTGACCATCAAACCTATCTATGCATCTCATAAGTTTATGGATTTCTATTTAGTCTCCCCTCAGCCTCTGCCACTCCAGAGAAAACAGTCCAGGTTTTTCTAGCCTCTCCTTACAGGTCATACCCCTCTAATCTGGGCAGCGTCCTGGTAAACCTCATCTGCACCTTCTCCAAAGCCTCCACATCCGTCCCGTAATGTGGCGACCAGAATTGAAACGTTGACTGTTTTGCTCTCCATAGGCGCTGCCAGAACTGTTGAGTTTCTCCAGCATTTTCAGACTTTATCCCTGCTGTGGTTTGTATAAGAGGGCAAGTGTACTTTCTTTGCCACTCTTTGCTTCTTTGCAGAGGTACAGTCAGTGTTGATCATGAGGGGGACACATCCCACCATTTTCTCTTGTGTCGGAGGCTATCTCCCTTCTCCTACTTCCTTCCTAGCAGTCCCTATAAAATGCCCTAAATCATCACTTCATCAAAAGCAGTACAGCATTGGCACGTAAATCCTCAGATTGTGAAAGGACCTACATATGTTCCTTTCTTGTTTCTGTGCTGTGCATCTTTCAATCAATGTGGAGATTGCATTCAATACATGACCAGAATGAGAGGAGAGTTAGTAAGCCTGCTTCAATTGGGTGTAGGCCAGAAAACACCACTGTGACCATTGTACCTAGCTTCCAGTTCAAATGGATGGCTGGTTAAGAGAGCAGCTGATTGGGTCTGATATCTGGATCAATATTGAACATGAGCTGAAAATAAATATTTAAACAGAGATGGTGGTGGTGGGAGGGAAACTATGAAAAAAGAAGTTGGTTTTGTAAGAAAAGCTTTTATTATTTCATGCCTTTCAGATGTAGAAAGATGGGGAGGGGGAGTTGATGCAAAAAAAGGGAAACGATTTTTTTTATGGCACGATTGAGTGCAGTTTGAGTGTTTGACATGTTTCCATGCACTTTGTACAACGGTTAAAATGGGGTCCAAAGTCCAATGGCTGCAGGAGCGGATGGATAAACGTGAACCCAGGAAAATGTGCCCAGTTCGAATGTAAACAGAGGAACCGAGGCCACGCTGATGATGACCAAAGCAGGTCACTTTCTCGTGTAGAAAGCAATGGTTTTGGTGACTTACTTGTTTTTGGAAGAGCTTGCCATTTAGCTGAACATGTGGGAAGAGTTCCAATAACATCAAGAGAGATCTTGTCATGGCGAAGGAGTAAATAAATTGGAATTGAAAAGGGTTGGGGGGGGAAGAGTGGATTGTTATAAATTTGGGTTTTTTTGCGGGGGAGGGCTGGGAGATGGTGACCAAATTGACCGCCTTGCAGCTGGAGCTGGTCAATGCACTGGTTGACTCTGGGCTGACCAAGGAGACCCTAGTCGAAGCTCTTCAGGAACTGGAGCCTTATCCAGTTTGCCAGACCGAGGAGGCTCAGGGCGCGGCGCTCAGCATCCTCCCCAACGATGGCTCCAAACCCGAATCCCTGCCGACCTTGGTGAACGGCCACAGCAACCCCGAGAAACTTTCCGGGGACGAGAGCTCAGAGGACGGTGACGATGACTACGACACTCCGGCTATCCTGAAGGAACCGCTCAACCTCAGCCCCGAGGAAGCTGCTCAGCAAAGGGCGATCGTGGAACAACTTCTCCAGTAAGGAACCCCCTCCTATTTGTTTTCCCTACCGCTGATGTTCTGAGATGAAAGCTTGTTGCTGCAGGCAATGTTCCCCTGATCTTGAGCAGCCCATTCTGTGCAAGTGTGATGGGAAACCGCTTGGCTGAATTAGGCGTGCCACAACTGGTTACTAATTATCCAAGTCATTGTTATTTCTTTGTGCTTTTTGCAAAATATAAACTGCAAGAGCATAGCCGTCCCTTTTTGCTTATATTTGATCATTAACTACTGATTATACAGGGCGTCCGGAAGTGTAACAGATATGGAGTGACTGTTCAGATTAAAGTTTGTCATTAATTAATTTGTGTGTAATAGTGATGACAATTGTGATATCCCTTCGTGCAAGGTAATTGTAACAAATTCACACCACTCAGCGATACTGTGTCAAAGTCTGGGCCAGAGGCATGTAAAAGGGGATTAATGTTTACCCTTTTATATTCCTTCTGATTGAATATATAATGAAATCTCGTTTAAAAATGAAATGATGAAGCTTCACCGGGGGTTAAAAGGAATGTCTGTTACAGATCCTGGCTAAATGGTTACATTAAAACATTGCACAAAGCGGGTTAATATAGAAAATAATCGATTTCCCAATCCACTTTTTGTTTTAAAAAGGCCTGTTCACAACTAGGGTGCGTCTGTGCATGGCTTGTCTTGTGTACTAATGAATTCTGTCGGTTGAGCAAACTACAAGAAGAGTTTTAAATAAGTATCGAATATTTGAGCAGCCCTAAATAATAAATTATCGCATTGTCATTACATCTGCAAACCTTCAGAATCGCAAGGTTCTCCAGGAGGTTAAAGCAAGTTTGACTATTGAAAAACAGGTCGTGAACAGTTAACAGTACGTGTTTATTTAAAGATGGGTTTGGCGGTCAGGATTATTGACGATTGTGATTTCAAGACATCGATTATATGAGTAAGGTTGTTGTGAATTGGATACGTTTCGTTAGCGAGGCTGGCAGCTTGCAGGGTGGGTGAAAGTGTTGTTTTGGTTCGTTCTGGGGACAGACAGTAAATAAACCGCAGCCCGGGTTCGCTGGCTAACCGGGCTAGCGATTAACAGGCAGGAGACCGCCAGGCCACAGCCCTTCAGTAAATCTGGCATCACCCAGACAAAAGTACAAGCGCAGTGTGTAAAAGCAGGAAAAGACACGCCAAAACAGGGCTGTTGTTTGTTCCAAGATTTGGACTTTGCTCCGGCTGCAAGTTTTATCTGTAACTCAACCCCAACAGTTCAATAAAATAAAGTAGTTCAGGATTTGTACGTATTTATTTGAGCGAAGCAGTACAAAATGTTTAGCTTTGTAAACAAGAACATTTTCACCGTATTTTCCAGGCTGTTTAAGTCGAGTTTAGATATCTGCAGCTCTATGTTATAGAAATTGTCTGTTTCAGAAATGTTATGACACACTTCTAGAGCAGGTGGGACTTGACCCCAGGCCTCCTGGCTCAGAGTTTGGGACACTTATCACCATGCCAGAAGAGCCCTTTCTCTGTTTGATTTCAGGTAGACCCAATGCATTTTACACTGCAGTTTAAAGAATTGCTGAACAGAATTTCTCTCATGTCAAAACGTCTAGTGGCAGTGTTTGAGCCGGCTCCTGGTGGGTGCATTTGCTCATCCAGGAATAGAACGAGAGAATCACAGAATGGCTACAGCACACAGGAGGAGGCAACTCGGCCCGTTGTGTTTGTGCTGGCCCTCTACTAATACAGATCACATGGTCCCACTCCCTTGCCTTGCAAATTAATCCTCTTCAGACTGATCCAATTTGCTGTTGAAAGCTACAATTGGATTGGCTTCCACACACTTTTTAGGCATTGCTTCTTTTACCAATGCCCTTTGAATGGGTATCCTTTGCTGCTCGGTCCTGTTTATTAACAGGAGCAGCTTCTCTCTATCTGCCCAGATTTCTTTGTGATTTTGAACACCTTGATCAAATCACTTCTCAGCCTCTTCTCCAAGGGGAGCCTTCATAACTGGAGTGCCTAATCGAGGTGGCATGGTGGCTCGGTGGTTAGCACTGCTACCTCACAGCATCAGGGACTTGGGTTTGATTCCACCCTTGGGTGGCTGTCAGTGTGGAGTTTGCACATTCTGCTTCCTCCCGGTGCTCCTGTTTCTAGGGATGTGCAGGTTAGGTGCATTGGCCGTGCTAAATTGCCCATAGTGTCCTGGGATGTTTTGGTTAGCCAAGGGAAATGTGGGGGATGGAGTGGGTCTGGATGGCACGCTCTTCAGAGGGTTGGTATGGACCCAGTGTTGAAGTGGCAGGCAACTGGAAGCTCAGGGTCATTTTTGCAGACAGAACATAGATGTTCTGTGAAGCAGTCACCAATCTACCCACTCTGAAATTGACTGAATGGCCATATGGGCTGCTTCCATGCCGTAGGGAATTCTATGATCCATGGAATTGTTTCCCTAAATTTTTTTCTGCAACCCCTCTAAAATAATTTCACCTTTTAAGTAAATCCCAGAATTGGACACAGTACTCCAGGTGAAGCTGAACCAGGTGTATCAGATCTTTCTTACTTTTGTTCCCTATTCTCCCATTTATAAAGTCTGAGATTCTGATAGCTTTATTAACCCATTCAGTCTCCTTCAGTGATTAATGCACATGTACATGTCCCTCAGCACCTTCACCCCTTTTGGATTTGTTGATATAAATGTGACCATTATTCTACATTCTTCTTTCCACAATGAATCCCCTCATACCATCATATGTTATCTGCCGTATCTGCCCATTCCATTAACCTATCTATGTCCTTTTTAAAAATTTTACAACATCCTTCACACAGTTCACAATGTTTCTAAGTTTTGTGTCATCTGCAGGTTTTAAAAGTCTACAATGCGCACCAAAGTCTAGGCCATTATTATACATCAAGACAAGGGAACTCCACTACCTCTGGTTGAATTAATGTGTACTAACCATGTCTTCCTGATCTGGCCATTCAGTCAATTTCAGACTGGGTAGACTGGTGACTGCTTCACAGAACATCTGTGTTCTGTCTGCAAAAATGACCCTGAGCTTCCAGTTGCCTGCCACGCCAACACACCACCATGTTCCCTGACCAACATCTCTGTCTCAGGCTTGTTGCAGTGCCCCAGTGAGGCTCAGTGCAAGCTGGAAGAACAGCATCTCATTTTCCACTTGTGAACTCAATAGCCTTCTAGTTTCAATATCAAGTTCAACAATTTTAGGGCTTGAGGCACCTTCTCCCATGTCCATACCCCTACTCCCACATACCAGGCCTTGTTATTACATGGTCTGCTATTACACACATCCATTGTTAGTCACTAATAGTCCCTGTTAGTAGCTATCCATTCTCCTACACTGGTAGTTATCCATTCCTTTGCTTGCCTAACTGTTTTTCTCTCTCTTTGCGTTCTATCTCCACTTCGTCTTTACTTCTTACCCCTCCCCCACCCTAACTTCTGCCTAAAAATCAACCGTTTCCTCGTTACCATCAGTTCTGAGGAAGGGTCATTCGACCCGAAATGTTTACTTTGATTTCTCTCCCCAGATGCTGCCAGACCAGCTGAGCCTTCCCAGCAATTTCTGTTTTTGTTTTTGATTTCCAGCAACCACAGTCCTTTCGATTTTTTTCGTCAGTTTCATATCCACATTGCTACTGTCCTATTTATTTCATGACCTCTAACTTTGCTGAAAGTAAATTCTTTCTTAAAGCTGTTCATAAATATTAGTTTTCAAAGGTCCTCTAAAATGATGTACTGAAATTTAGTTCATTTATGGAAAGATTATAAGCACAGAGAATAACAAATAAATGATGTCTTGTTTTACAGTGTGAAAAATATAAATTTATATAGTTCCAAATGCAGCAAGACCTGAATTTGAGACAAAAACAGAAATTGCTAGAAAAGCTCAGCAGGTCTGGCAGCATCTGTGAAGAGAAATCAAAGTTAAATCAAAGTGCCAGTCAATGACCATCTCCAACGAGAACGATCCAATTATTGCTTCTTGACATTCAACGAGGGTTCATTGATCACAAATTGCACTTGACTAGTTATATAAATACTGTGGCCAGAAATTAGATCAGAGGCTGGGAACCCTATGGCAAATAGCTCGCTTCCTAACTCTCCAAAGCTTGTCCACCATTGATAAGGCACAAGTCAGGATTTTGATGGAATATTCCCTACTTGCCTGGATGAGTGCAGCTCCAGCAACACTGAAGAAGCTTGACACCATCCAGGATAAAGCAGTCCGCTTGATTTGCATCATATTCTTTATCTTCAACATGCACTCCATCACTGACCCACCGTGACATCAGTGTGTACCATCTACAAGATGCACCACAGCAGCTCACCAAGACTCCCTCAAGAGTATCTTCCAAACCTGCAAACCTCTAACAATTAGAAGGACATGACCAGGAGATGCGTGGGAATACCATCTGCAAGTTCCTTTCTAAATTCTGACTTGGAACTATTACCGTGCCTTCACTGTCGCTGGATGAAAATTTTGGACCTCCCCTCCTAACCACGTGGGCTGTACCTAACCCCAATAACTGCTATGGTTTGAGGCAGCTCACTACCACCCTCTGAAGGGTAATTAGGGATGGGCAATAAATGCCGACCCAGGTCACGATACCCAGCCTCTGTGAATGAATATAGAACTAAAACAGACTGGCTCAGTGGCAGTTACATGCAGGTGAGGGTGAAAATTATTCTCATAGCATACTGCATTCTGATAACCATCAGTTTAATTAGCTTTTCTAACTTGATTCTTGATTCTTCTCGTGATAACCCTGATTCTGTTTGTTCGATCTTCATCTCCATAGCTGGGGTCAACATCAGCCTGGGTAGGTCGCTTCCCATTACGGAACTTGCGAAGGTCTTGTTCCATTATCTACTCTTTATTTGCACCTGAAGATTGCAATCACAAAATCATTTGATAAAATTGAAGAGTTTCCATTAGAACTCATCAAATAAGATTTCTTGTTTGCCGCAGAAAAAG